GTCCTGATTTAGTTCCAATGAAAATCATTCCCCATGCTTCATCCATGCACTGAATTGGACTGTTTATTTGCACTGGGTTTCTTACCAATGCGCCAGTCTAACAAAAAGGCTAAGTTTTTTTTTAAGTTTTTTAATAGAACTTTTAATGTTTAAATCTCCAAATCTTACCGTTATGTTATAACAACGCAAAGTGCCGTCTAAGGAACCAGAATACATGAATTCTTTGTTAACTCCTGCAATATCTGATCTACAAATGTATAGACACGTGACTGCAGATTTGTGACCTTTGTAGATATTCAATATTCCATTAGACAGTTGACTATATCTGTATATTTTGCCATCTTCACTTGCTGCTAGGAAGGAGTTTTCAAAAATCTAAAAAGAAATATGTATTTAGTACAATGCCTTGCATAAAATATAATTATTTAAACAAAATAAATTATTACCTTGATGTCTAAAATAGGACCTTTGTGGACCGTATATTGCGTTCTCGATGATTCCTCCTTGTCGATCTCCATTGTATGTGAAACGGATTTTTGAGCGAAATTGTTGTCAGTACTTTCCTTGGTTGACTTCTCTTCTAAGGTTTCAATCTTGGTTTTCTCTTTACCGCAAATCTTTTCCGGCAAAAGAGGACTTTTATCTGAAGCCGTATTGGGAATTGTCGTTGTATTCTGATGACATGATGTAGCATACTGCGTACATGATGTTCCGTTACTCGATGTGTTAGGATTAATAGCAATTATTCCTAATTTATTCAGAATTTCGGAACTGATATACTTCGAGAGAATGGATTTACAATCCACCAATCTCACTTTGCAATTCCTCATTTGCCATTCCGTATGTTTCCTCTTCCTTGCGATTTCCGCAGTTCTAATCTTAGATTCCGTAACTGTATCGGAACGATTAACCGGATTTTCAATCTTCGCTTCAGATCCATCATTAACGAACGCTTTTCGGTTGTTTTGAACGTTCTTTTGTGTGGTACGATTCTTTTTAACGTTGCTCGGAGTTTTTTCATCGCGCATTATCCACGTAGGAGACTTGCTTTCGCCTTGCGTTATTAAACTGTTTTCGTGAAGAACGCTCAATTCCTGTTCACTGCTGTTCGAATTCGTATCAATGTCGTTTATCTTACCAAGTTTGACATTTTCGTTGGAGTTTCTGGTGCTTCTACGAATCGGCGTTGCATTACTGTATTTGCGACGAAGTTTTTTGTCTCCGCCCTTTCCAATCGCCTTGCTGAACGAAAGGGTGGAGGAAGTTGACGTACGATCCATATTTTCCTTGACCGGTTCTTTTTCCGAGACTCCAATCTCGGCTTTCTCTTTATCACGAGTCTTGTCCGGGAAAAGGGAACTTTTGTCTGGAGTTGCAGTAGGAATTGTCATTGTATCTTGCCGCATAGAGGGTTGCGTACCGAAGACGGGATTTTGTTCGATGAATGCTTCGTTGAATGCTTCTTGCGACTTTTCCTTCGCTCGATCAACCGGAACGGGACTGCTCGTACCTCGATCGTTATCCAAGTTCTTGTCAAACGCGTCTGCCTTACTTTCAGAATTACTACTCTCTTCTCTGTTGGCGGCTGTATTTTCCACGTTTTTTCCACAATCCTGTTGCGTAGCGGTTGCATCATTTGAGAATCGCTCGGATTCGGCCTCTGATCTTTTTTGTTTCGCATCTGTCTTTTCTACAGTAGAATCTGAAATGCTTGAATCACGCTCTATATCTCTTATCGCTATCTTATTGTACTGGTTAGATGTAACGCTGTCGCCCGATTCTTCGTTCTCAGTTGCATCTGGAGACTTTGTAGTGCTCGATTGTAGCGCGGATGGTACATTACTTACATTGTCGACTGTCTCGTCCCTTTTATTCGCTTCGTCCACCGTACGTTCATCCTTCGCTTCGTCTTTCTCATCTCTCTTGTCCTCCTCCACGTCGGTCGGTTTAGTGGCTTGTGAAGCATTTTGTGAAGAATTTTTATCCCTTTCCTCCGATTTTTCAGAGCTGGCCGGAAAGGCGTTTGTTGTAGAATCGACCAAACCAGCGCCGCCAACACTGCCCTCCGTGTCTTTAAATTTCTGCAACAATCCCAGGCTGAAATCATCTTTAATTAAAACTTTGGGCACGGATACTTTAATGTCAAAATTGCATGACGTAATATTATTAGCATCCTTTGGACGGGCACGCTCACAGTCCGAAGAATGGCTTTTCATTAGAGTTTCCTCAGGAGTGACGCTACTGTCGGGTTCCACGTTATGTTCATCGTAGAAAGGAACTTTGTCCTGGCTTACAGCTTTGAAAACGTGATTCGATCCATCATTACTGTCTTGCTGCACCGTAGTCTCCTCTATATTTTCCTTCTCTCGGCAAGGCCAGTCTGAATTGGCGTTCGCTTCAGCGTCAACATAAAATTGATTATCAGATTGCAACATGGAGGAAACATTGGACGTTGCTGGGACATCATTGGACGTTGCTGGAACATCATTGGATCTTACTGGAACATCATTTGACATTGCCGGAACGTCATTGAACGTTTCCGGAACGTCATTGGACGTTGCTGGAACATCGGTGGAAGCACGTGTCTCCGATTGAGGCTCATACAGATCGTCCACCTTGTTTTCCGTTTCCACGGCGTTTATCACTTCATCCACGTTCTTCGGATCAGCAATATCCTCTTTCTTCTGGCTGAGCGAATCGAGCAAGTCTCGCTTCTGCCGCAACTTTCTGATGTACAACTTGAACAAAGGCAATTCCTCTTCCTCCATTGTCAGATTGTTAACCCTTCTCAAGTAATTATCCAATTGCTTCTTCTTTTTCTTGCGAATGATCGCCTTCATCTTGCGCGTTATATCCTGCTCTTTCTTGAACGTTTCATCCACCAGGGCGAGCCCCCGAGTCATCTTTCTGCTCTCATGCAGCTCTGACGCGGTGTTCTGCACCAGAGAATCCCACGTGCTGTCGTCGGAATATATGGACAAAGGTTCCGGTGTGCTGTGCACCTGTCCGCTTGACGGTTGAGAATTTATTTTCGCCACCTCGCTCGGCGGCGGAGCATCATTTTGCTTGTCAATATCAAAATGTTTCTCACGCTCGTTTTCTCCTTCCTCGGTGAGGTCCTGCGATTCCGAACGATTGTCCATATTTTCATTCGAGCAGATTGCGCGTCTCGAATCAACATTACGAGTCTTGTCCTTGTCAGATTTTTCAGCAGTTTCTTCTATTTCATTCGTCATTGCGCTCAAGTCAGATTTCTTCAGAACGTCACCACCGCTACCTTTGGACGCATTAATTGAATGACTGTCTCTCATCTTTTTATCGAAGTCGGAAGTCGATGCCCTCTGCTGTTCCGTAACTTCGTTAGGGTTTTTCTCCTGCCGTTCCTCATCTCCATCTCGTCTGATTGTCTGCTCTAGTCGTGGCTTTTTCTTCCATCGAATCACAGGCATCTTCGTTCTCTGAACGTAATTTGTCTCGTCGTCCGAAGAGACGCGGGAAGAGATCGTCTTTCTTTTTTTAGGCGAAGGTAAGTTTTTACCTTCGCCCTGTTGTTGTTTGGCACTCATCTCGTTGTTTCGCGCCGGCCTCAATGTCGGCGATGTCTCAAGCTGATTAAAAACGGCGTCGTCTTCCTTTGTTCTCGATGTCACGCCGCCACCTGCCGTCGAACTTTCAGGAATGTCACTTTGCAATATCTCGTGTAACTTGAGTTTTTCCGTTGTCAATTTATGTATCTCGAGATCGATCTCCAGCATTCTGGCCACGATAGCTTCCCTCGTGGTGCCCAAGAGCTTTCCCGATCGCATCATTTTCTTGAGCCTCCTCGTCAGGCTGTCCCTGTTCGATCGTCTTTTGACTTGGTATTTCATCTTTCGCTTGTCTTTCAACTTATTCAATATCGTACCGTTGCGCTTCTCCCGACTTTCGGCAACTCTCTCGTTCGCCCTCTCAGAATTTCCCCTCTTTTCCAACAGCTTTTCGACCTCTTTCAACTTGGTTAATTCAACAACCGGGGTACGTTGCATGCCGGGAAAACGTTTCTCTTTTAGATTAATGGAAGGAGCTCTCTCGTGAGTAGCGCTAACTACTTGGCAAGCTAGATCGTCGCACGTGTTATTTTGTGTCGACGATATCGTGTTTACAAAATCTGCCGGCGCGGCAATCATTGTGTTATTACGAGTTATTTCCAGCGGAAACTCCTTCGTTTTTCTGTTGTTTTGTATATCTCGTATGTGCCACGCGGACGTCCGATCGTAATCCAGATCCGCCTCGCATCGTTGCGCCTTATCCAATATCTCGAGCGTCACGTCCTCCTTGGTCGCCGTCGGCACGTCGTTATTCGGCGGTTTCAGAAAGAGATTCGTCGCGGCTTCCTTCAACGCGGCTTTAGTCGGAATATTCAGCGTTCTCGCCGGTACGTCGCTCGGCGTGGCGGGCCGTTCCGTCGAAGCTGTAATTCCCGTGGCAAGTAAGTCGCAGTTGTCCGACGACGAGATGCGCTTGAAATCGAATTCACATTCCTCCGGCTTCGAGATCTCGCCGATCTCGCCGATCTCGCCGATCTCGCCGATCTCGCCGATCTCGCCGATCCGCGGCGTCACGTCCGCCGTCGATAGATCCGCGCAGGACGTGATCAGCATCGTCTCCGCGTCCGGCGTCACCGTCGGCGTGATGTCGTCGTAACGGGGACCCGGGGGGGACTCGTGAACGGAGAAATGCCCGGATTCGTCGTCCTTGTTGTCGAACGCGGCGGCGCCTCGCAAACGATCGTCCAAATAGAACATGTTATCCAGATGCTCGTCAGAATCGAAGTCCGGCAATTTGTCGCAGGGGGGGACCTTCTCCGGGGATATATTCGTTTCCAGATACATGTGATGATTGTCGAGGTGTTCCGCGACGTGATTTTCCGACAGTCTTAACGCATCGTCCGAGGCCGTCGCTTCCAGGGCGTCGGACAAGCTGGGATCGGTTGTCGTTTTGAGCAGTTTACTCGTCAAATCCTTGGACCGATTCTCACCCTGAGTGAGAATGATCTCGTCCTCGTTAATAAACATGGCCTCTTTAATCTCTAATTCCGCGCACGATGGGTATCTCCCTTTCCTCATCAATCGCCTTTCCGCTTCGCTACTCTCACCGATACCACCGATATCGATGTCGTTGTCCTCGTCGTGTAACGTCGTCGTGACTATTTCGCTCGAAGATTCTCTTACGCGTTCCTCTCTACTTTCGACCGCCATCAAATCGGATTTATCACTCTTCCCGTTCGTCGCACATTCCTTATCTGAAACAAGTAAAGCGTCGCCGAAAGCGATATTAAAATTCTCATTGACATTAATATTTGCATCGTTAGCATAATCGGTAGCAGAGCTTAGCATTTCGTAATTCTGCCGTCCTTCGTCGTCGATTTTCGTATCCTTGCAATTAGCAACATAATCTACATTACAATCATTTAAAAATAACTTGTTCTTTTTATCGGCGTCGACTTCGTCCAATTTCAGGTCGAACAAGTTATCGCCGCTCGACTGTTCAAAATCCATGACGGTTTCTTGAAGAAAGCCTTTAAATGGACTACCTGCGCTGTCGGGAGAGATAACACCATTCTTTGTATTCTGCTGTTGTCGAGTGCTTTCATTTGTTGAAGTTGATAACGATTCGGCAGTTGTTTCAGCCACAAAATTTTGCTCGCTCGTACTTGTTGTAGATTTATCTATATCGTCCGGTACATCTAGTTTCATATTGTTCTCCTTAGCATTATCAATTTCATCGTTGATTAACAACCGATCTTCCGTACCTCTCTGTCCGTCGACGTCATCCAATCGAGACTCGTTCAACTCGGAAATGCTGCTTACGTCACGATCGTGTGTATTCTTCGATAAATCGGAATTTGATTCCTTAATTTTAATTTGATTTGTTTCACTCGATGAAGACTCCGTCTCTCTCGTGGAATCGGACTGTTGATTCTCGGTTGTAGATGTAGAGGAATTCTCTTCTTCGTTTGTTGTTTTCTTAGTATCGCTTGAGATTTCAGAATTATTCATTTTATGAATACTTCTAGGAACTCTCGTTGTATCGACTTCAACACAAATAGCATTAGACATTTCTTTTGTACCTTGACTTGTATTCACAGTCTCAACGCTTACCGTATCTTCCGCATGTTTCACATTAGCTTCTTCATTTTGTGCCGTCTCAAAAGATAATGAAGAATTTTCAGGTGCGTCATTATTTTTGATACTAGAAGTTAGAGCTTCTTTAACATTTCCTCGTTCAAGAGATTCTAACTTTGAAGAACGTTCTTTCGCCTTACCGGTATCGCACAATGACTTATTATTATTATCAGCCTTTCCCGTCGACGATTCTATTTTCTTTTTGCTATTATTTTTCTTACTTTCACGAGAGCTTATTAATTGCGCGGTTTGTTCCGTTGTTTCCACTTTGTTTATATCCTTAATGTCATCATTCTTCTTTTCCCGAGCCACTTGCGTACTCTCACTCCTCGATGTCTTTCCCATAGAATCATATATTTTTGTCGAAACCAGACCACCACCGTCAGACTTTGACACCGTAGCAGACTTCTTTTTCGCTTTTTGTTCTTTCGCCATTTCCCTTAATTTCAACTCTTTGCTACCTTCCGATCGAATATTTTTAAATCGTTTACAATCAGACGGGACTTTACCTTGTAATTTTTTATCTCTCGTATCTTCTTCAATCTTCGAACGTTTTTGGGATTTAATCTTAGACGTTGCCTCAACAACGTTGGACACTTTATTACTCTCAGCGGCAAATGTTTTGTCCTGATCCTTTGACTTATCCCTTTTTTGATTAAGCTTTTTAATGGCGCTATCGTTGCCGACGACACGATTATTCGTATTTTCTTCAGAAGATTTCGGCGCTAATTCCGCGATCTTGGATTCCTTTGCCACTTGTTTTTTTTTCTGTCCAACATCTTTTTCAGACGGAGTTGCCGATGCGGCATCATCTTTGTTACTCGTTGCGCACGGAACAACGACTATTCGCGCCGCTGAAACTAATCGCGGGTCCTGAACGGAGCCGCCGCATGCGGATACGAGTGTAGGTTTGTCGATTGCGATTTCCGGCCCCGTGGCTTTCGGTGCTGCCGAAATTGAATTTGCCGGTGTGCTCGCGGGACTCTCCGCCGGTTTCTTCGACTCTAACTTCTCGCTCTTGCGACGTCGCGTGGCGCGCTCGTAGTACGTCTTTATGTCGATCTTTTGCTGGTCCTTGCTTCTGAGCCACGGTGCTACTCTTGCAGCCGGACTTGCACTCGATACCGACGACGCTGACGTGGCAACCGTTGATACTTTATTTGATACGTCGTTATCGGCAGTTGAGGTGCCATTTCCATCTTGCATCTCTTTGGTGCGAGACGACTCGGTAGAAGCGCACACCGTTGCATCCGATCGTTGCGGTAATGCAGTTTCGTTAACTCTGTCACGTGGTGTCACGTGCGCGGCATTGCTGTTTCGATGTCCTGTCAAATTGTCAATTTCCGATGGAACTTTAGCCTCGTCCTGATCAACGTGATGATCGGGATCGGTTGCCGATTTGTCTGAACTCTCCAAAGTGTACCCCGAGAAATTCATCGGATTAAACGTATCCCAATCTTCCGGTATGCTGGTGATTATATTCAGGGGAACTTTATTGTCGTTCATATCGGATGTTTCCGGCATCTGCTTCAATTGTGCTTTAGTTTTTGGCTGCGTCGGGGAAGCCGTTGGCAGTCTGTCCTCGGTGTGTAGCTGCGCGGCCGTCAGCGGAATCATCTCTCGCATTGAGGATTCGTACCTGGTTTGCGATTCGGAGAACAAATATGCCGCCTTACTACTCTCCATGAGCGTGAGATTCGAAGATTCGTTTGCAAATTCAGCTCCCATATTGTCTTCTTGGCCAATGTCTACCTCCTCTTTAACAATTACTTGCTGCACGATCGTGTCGTCTACGACTTCCTTCTTAATCTCTTCCTCCGTCAGTAACCTGTCGACTATTTCCTCGTTGGTGTCCTTCCCCGAGGAGGAGTCGGACGAGTTCATCGTTCTCTTATTTTGTTTCCTCCTTCTCTTATTATGGCGTGTCTTCCTCTGTTTTCGGCCTTTCGCGTTTTTATGATTCTTTCGCGATTTCCTCGATTTTCGCTCTCGCTGAATCTCGGCGTTCACCTCGTCTCTTATCGCTTCGTTCAATGTCATCTTCTTGGCTACCTTCTCCTTCTCTTTTATCGCTCTCAAAAGCTTCGTAACATTTGTGTTATCACTGTTATTACTGCTGCTGCTACTGCTACTAGTACTGCTGCTGCTGCTGCTACTAGTACTGCTAGTGCTGCTGCTCCTGTTCATCCTTTCGTGATCATTATTATGCTCCAAGTATCCCGCACTATGTCTCCTATCGTCGCTATGTCGCCTAGATCTCTTATGCTTGTCCTTCTCCAAAGTTCTGTGTCTCGTGGTCGGCTGCCTCGAAGATTCAGACGAATGACGACGTCGCGAATGAACTCTTCTACCACGTCCTCTGCTTGATAATTTCTTGTTGTTAACATTCATGTTTTTTGTAGGAGGTATAGACAAAGGAACGGAAGGAGAGAGAGGAGGAGGTACAGGTGTTACACAAAGAGGTATAGAAAGAGATACGGAAGGCACTGAATTTGCTTGCGTCCCATATCTCGCTTCCCATTCTTCTTTGGTAAGATTTCTGTATGCATGCGGATCTTCCCGTTCCTTCCTTTTCCATTTGTCACACTTTTCGTCCCAGTGCGGGGAATTCTCCGATCTGAATGCTCTGTTATCTTCAAAGGGTGCCTCTTTCTCTATGCTTCTCGACAAAGGCGTATCAATGTCAAATTTCTTTGCGTTTCTTAATTCCATCGTGCAACGTTTACGTTCTTTTATTACCGTAGGAATTTGAATTTTTTTCGTCACTTCTGAAAATATATCATCCAGATCATGTTGCAGAGTCGACAAATTAGTGATGCTAGATGCATCAGCTGTAATAGCGTTGCAAGCGTCATCTTTCAAATTAAAATTATTATTTTTATTTTTATTATATGCCTGTTCAATATCCTTATTATGTTTCGTTTTTGCCGCGCGAGCTTTGTTCTTTACACTTTCTTGAGCAACAGCATTTGATGACGTTATTGTTTTACTCGCGTACTCTGTGGCGTTATGTGTTATGAGATTGAACGTATGACTTGTATCTTCCAATTGACTACATTGGCTACTCGAAGTTGTTGCGAACTCGGCATGATTGTCTGGTTGTACGTCCAATTGTAATACTTCATTCAAATGATGAATGAACTCCGTAGGCAGATCCGTAACGGATACAATAGCATCGGTATCTAACATTGCGCTCAATTGCTTCATAAATTCCTGTTGATCGTACAGTTTCATCTTCTCATCTTGCGCGTGTCTCATCTCCAACGATAATGTAGACTTTTGTTCTTTGACTAGACGTTTCATTATAATATCAAACTTTCGAAGACTAGTATTATTTACCATGTTATAGATATCGTTTTTGCTCATTTTCAAAAATCGACTGATAATTCTGTTCTTCCAAGAAGCTTCTGAATTGGAACTCTCGTTTTTCTCTGCACAAATCCTCGAATTTTGCAAGTTAACTTTTGAGTACGGCGACCTGCTGGAACATCGAGATTTTTCCGTTTGGATATTCTTTTGTGATTTTTTGTGAAGCAATGTGGTACCCTGATTTGTAATCAATATGGATGATATCGCACGTTCAGAATTATCTTCATTTCTTTTCAAATTCTTTTCCTCCTCTCTTTTACGTCTTAACGTATTTTCAGAATTCTTCTTCGTTATCATAACTGCTGCCTGCACATTTTCTGATTCCATAGATTGCGTTATACCATTTCTTTTCTCGCTATTTTCTTGCCAAGCTCCCTTAGTATTTACCACTTTTGTTTTATTATTCAAATTAAATACCACTTTAGGGCGATCTTGTTCCTTCATTAATGAAGCATCCTTAGACTTTACATTTGTATCTTCTACTTGTATCGTTCCTTCTGACGGCAGATCGTTTGTTACCCCTTGTTCATCGGGAACTATTTTCCTCTTGCTATTCGTGTCATCTTGTTTTATCTTTTTTGGCTTATTAATTTTGACCTTTGGCTTCCCTGGAGGCAAAGCTATAGATTCTACGTTGCCAACACGATTAACTGAGGCGCTACTTTCGGAAAGAGATTTGGAACTTGATCTAGATTCATCATCCGTTTTTCCTATGCTTGTCATTTCTTTCGCAAATCTCATAGCTTCCTGCATATCACTCAAACCATCATCTTTATTCACACTGCAATGCAAATCAGAAGACGGGGAAAGTTGTGGTGGGGAAGATGGGGATACATAAGCGTTAGATGCTGTATAGACTTGAGGCAATGCTGGCGGAACGTGTGTATTGATAGTAGAATGATTTGATGGTATAGGATATATCGGAGAAAAATTGACAGTATCCATAGGAGGTGGTAGAAAAACATTACTTTGGCTGGACATTTCTAACGGTAATTGTTGAGATATAAATCCTCCATGTGTATTTAAACACGGGTGAACTTCCATGTTATTATAGACAACAGGTATCGGATTTACAACATTAATATTCCATGCAGAATTTGCGTCTTCATGGGAAATATTTGATCCGAGTAAACACTTCATATTCGGTGGTGGAGCCGTAGGATCAAATAACGGTGGTAAATCAGGTATTGGATATGCAGGTAGTACACATAGCTGTTCTTGCTTCAATAGTATCGGTGGTGGAGTAGTTGGATCAAAATCAATAGGCAATTCCTGTTCGATTTGCGGCGATAATTTTGGTGGATCACTTTGAGACGAATTTTCCTTCACTGTTGATACTCGATTATCTAATACAACATTCTTCATTGGTATATCAATTAGTGGTGGCTGTATCGATGTGCAATTATTATTCGAATTTTCTGTCTGAGAATTTAAAACATTTTCTTCAACTTCTGAATTTGTGAACAAATTTTCTTCATTTTGCGATACATTATTCTGCAAGATGTTTTGATTTTCTGTGTCAATTGAAAGTGACATAGCTTGTAAATCCAATGTTTCAGGTTCAGCTTGGTCTTTCAGAGCATCTGCAGGATACACCTCAAAGGCTTGTGAACAATTCTGCTGGTTATCTTGATCTTGTGAGATACTAGTTATTGGTGCATTATACTGAAGTTCAGATTCCAGTAATTCGTTTTCGACATTATTATCTCCATGTAAATTTGATTGTTCTAAATTATCAACTGCCTCATGAAATTCCCAATTGTCCGTTTCCATATATTCATTATCATCTGGCACATTTTCCAGATTTGTCAATTGATCATTAGATATTAATAGATGAGAGTCATCTTTGTTTTCGTCTATGACATCGCTGTCTGTAATATTTAATATATCTGTTGTATGCTGTACATTGTCAGGTTTTATATTATCAGAATTTATTTTTCCAATATCCTTTAAATCATTATAAGTCAAATTGAGCTCAGATGATTTGTATCCGACTGTAGGAATTTTTCTAGACTCTGTACAATCATCATCTGTAATACCAGATATTGGTATATTATCACTCCAAATGTTTATCATTTCATTACTGTTAAACGAAGAAAGTTTCTGCTTTAGACGATCCGCTGTTTCAGTTATCTTCTGCTGTCGCTCTTCTTCGGAACCGAGCAGAGGAGGTTGTGGCACAGTATCAGGCTGATTGATTTCTACCTGTAGATTATCTGGTTGCGATACAGCAGTCTCCTCATAATTCAGATGTACAGGTAATCTGTTAGGAGGAGGAAATCGAACATCATAATTGCAAAATCTTCTTCTTCTATTATCTAGTCTGAACTGCGGATTGCCACGTATCAGGTGGGGCTGAAAAAACCTGTTGTTTGGTTGCCAGGGCATGCCGAATGATCCTGGATGCCCTGACCTTGGTGGTGGTGGTGGTGGTGCTGCATGTCGGAAGGGCGGACGCGGGAATCGGGGTCTGCCGAAGCGACGCGCGGCATGTGTACCTTGCGGTCCGAAGCCCCTTCCTCGATTAAAGTTACTATAACTCATTACACTCTTTAGTCTTTAGCACCTCGATATCGTCTCAACAAACTCACTCGATACAGTAGCTAGTAGCACACGGATCTTTGGCAGTTTAACAGCGTGCGCGCATGTTAACGTGCATCTCGTCCTCACAGATGTACGCTTATTGCACTGAATCGCAGTCGATGGGTCTTCTCTCCCGAGCTCGCGGTTTGTCTCTCATGTAGGCTCGCGTGTCGGGGATGCCGAGGTTCATCGTGCATATCTATCCCTCGCCTCGCGTATCCACACGGGCTAACGCTCGCGTTATGGACGACCGAATACTCCAATCGACATCCCCACTTAACCTCTTAAGCTGCAAGAGCCGTCGACCACTGAATCCACCGGCGAAGCTGTCGGCTGCAAAGGAACACGTGCGATTAGAACGTATTAGAGGGGAAACGCGGGGGATGACAGCGTCCGTCGACGCGTTTCGCGTGTCACAACGTGTGCAATGAGTAAACCCACGGGACTCACGGCGTCGCGTGTCGCGTCAAACGATCAGATGTTCACGCTCCCCGCGCGTTGCTCCTGTCTTTCTTCCTGCCTGGCTGGCTGCCTGCCTGCCTGCCTCGCTCTCTCTCTCTCTCTC